ATAGCATCGCATTGTAAGCAATCGCATGTAACACCGACTCATCCTTACGCGTCTGCTTTCGTGAATCACGTATTAACAGACAATACGCGCATGAGGTCATTCATAAAAATCTTTCGCATTGTTTTCGGCTTGCACGAATTTAAATACAAATCATCGTATACCTACAACGTTACTAAATTCAAATATTATTAATGCTAATCGATGATGCTTGTATGTAGATCATTTCATTAAGATCAATACAAATTGATTCGATTTATTATCCACTACTTTATTACGTTTCAAATAAAACGATAATTGTACCGTTATCGATCGAACGTTTTGCTCTGCACATTTTAGAGATTTGGCAATCCATTTATCAACTGAACGGTTGATTGAAAACACCGAGAAATAAATTGGTGAGCCGATTAAATTAAGTCAACTCTTCGATAATCCTTTTGCTGTCGCAATGAAATATACGCACTGGAGTGTTCGCGCGATTGAGCACACGTAAAAAGTTATGAAATGATTCGATGTAATACATTCCTACGCAAGAAACATGTTACAGCTTTCACGGTGCTGGATGTCAGAAGCAACGAGACATAATTACATGTCGCACGAAATAAAACATCGGTGACCCACATTCATCGTGGCTAGCGGCTGCAGGGCTATTACGCTCTTTATCCTTCGGCGGGACAAAATTGAATGTCAAGCGCCACGAAATTCGATAACGAGCGAGAAAAGTATACATTAATTTGCACGCGAACGAGACGCGCACTCAAATCTGCGTCTTAAATCACTCGAAGGGAACGACCAGGCCGTTATGTCCAGTACACTAGGCTCGTGCAAATGTTAACTCGCTACTTAAACTTCATTTCTCCTTTAAAGCCGGTAAATACGATTACGCAATAATTGGGATTTAAGTTCTGAAGACGTTTCGCTCGGTCGCTTCTTAAATTTCTTCGAACGTTTAATAACCGATTATCGAGGTTGGTGAACCGTTTCTTATTTACGTATCGAAGTATACAAATGAATTAGTAAACGAAACAACAAAAAATGTTAACAATGTATAACAATATTTTTGTCATAAATAGCGGGCAATTATAATTTTTGCGAATCGATTTCTAAAAATATGCTAATTTGCTGCGTTTGTTGAAAATTCAAACATGTATGATCCTTTAATCATCCCCTAAACTGATACACTACTTTTTTATTTTAGTTAGATAGATGTACGATATGTATGCAATAATTTAAAGAAAAATTTAATTCTTCATCGATTCTAAAACCTGTAACTATATATTTTTAGTGTGTTCATAGATTATTTAAATTGCATAAAATACTGTGTAATTAAATGCTTATTACTATTTGAAGGACTGATACTACTGCAATTTTTTTCGAGTACGCCTATAAAACCACTTCCAAAACGATTTCAGATGGCAACCATGGCCCGGTGGCATGAATCAAGGCCCATTTACGAGGATCCGTTTACAAGGTCCATACCGATGTGGTTATGACGTAATCTTACGTGAGCCGAAAGTGTGCATGCGTTGTAGATAAATGGTCACACACGTACGAACAAATCAGAGTCCTGCTGAGCAATGCAGTAATCAAAGTTAATGCGGAATCGTTTAGTGTACAAAGAATTTTGATAAGTCCCGTTACTTGTTTGATAGATCAGCGTCAGATGTGCATGCTTGTTATAAAAGTAAACAGACATTTTAATATTAGTTTTCCTAATATTTACACAGCAAAATTTGTACGCACTTTTTTTCATATTTTACAAAAAAGTTAGAAATTTTAATAAAATATATAATAGAAACAATATATGAAATAATAAATAACGAACAATAGGTAACATGTTTAAATACAGTTCAAAGTTTACAATTTTCAATAATAACAGCATATTACGTATATTTTATAGTCCTCCAATAAAAAATATACAATCGATATTAAATCATGTTTAATTACATAAGTAACCTGGTACTTGTGTATATATTAAAAGTAAATTGATGATAGCTGTACATTTCAAGGTGAGTCGTAATAGACACAGGATACGAATTAAATTTCAATGATCGTGCAGATCTAGCTTGAAACTCCAACTTGCAACAAAATATGGATTTTTCATTCGCATATAGCCTCGTGTTTGATGGTACCTGTCGTCGAAATAAACCGCACGATCTTATTTACATAAAAATCGAGCAATAAAATTCGAAGGAAATATCATCAGTGAAATAACCTTGAAACGGGAGGAAGCCATTGAAAATTTAACGCACATTGTTTTCGAGCATCAAATCGACTGACGAGGCGACATTTGACTTGCAGGATCAAGACAAACACTTGGCGCGAATCCATATTCCTTTTTTCGGGAATTTATTAGTAACAACTTTTTCTGAAAATACACCTTGACTCATTGAACCGCTGGAAAATTCACGAGAACGTGTTAATGTATACGTGCTAAAGCAAGCATACAAATATTGTTACACTCGAGTGTGCATTTTACTACCCGTTGGTAGTGCCAATAAATGTGACCCAAGTTTCCATAGATATAAACAAAAATATTTTTAATACACATAACAGAAACAATTAATTAGTACGAATAAAAGGGAAAAGTAAGTTTATTAAAAAAAAACAGAACAGAATTACAAACACAGTTGACAAAACAAGAAGAGAAACGAAAATTTATACGGCATTCATTAATTTCTTTTTGATAGATGTGAATATCGAATACGTATATCTTGTGTACAACTTTCACACCTACACCCTACGTTAACCGTGACCTCTGAGCCAGAACAATCATTCAGTAACAAGGTAACCGTATGAAATGTTGCGCATCGGTCTCAATGGAAGCTGGTAGGTAGACGAGGGGACCGTAAAATATATTACACGTATACAACGATTTGTGTGGGCATTAGTGTGAGATTAGCATCATGAATAATTCATTTTCGAGCCTTTTGCGACCTTCGTACAATTTCGCGTTAAGAATAACTTTATCAATTCTCATGTCAAATTCACCTTCAATGTTGCTGCTAATATTTCATAACAAAGAGGATTCAGTGATGAGTCACTAAAATTAACGCAAAACATTGAAGCAAATTCGTTGTAATAGGATAATATGAGGATAACTAAAAACATTCTTCACTTTACAGTTAACATATCTCTTGATTTTCGAAAAATGTGTAGAAAACGATCGTTGCGGTACTTTATTCGACTCGTATAGCTTTCATTTGAAATATATGTTCATAATATTATTATTACATAGTACTGATAGCACAATATCGATTTGAATATACGTTTGATACTACGGTATTATTTCCTACCAATCCAATTAAATAAATCAACTGCTGCAGTAATCTCATGAAAGTATAATCAAACAGACCCACAATTAAGTTTCCGACTACTTAACGTCCCGTGTACAATGTAAAATTCGAGCGAAGTAATGAACAACATAAATAAAGTCGCAAGATTTACATTTGCCGGGGAATAAAATGCAGATTGAGTGAAAATTAGTCACCAATGGCGAATCACTTGGCCATTAGGTGCATAAATGATAATCGTATTGGTAGCATGCACCACGAAAGTGGAACATCGTGCACGGAAGGAGAGCGTGTTCGCTGGTAGTCCAATTGGAATCACTGGTCGCACTATCAAATTGTCACGGATGGTTGAGCGAATATACTATTAGGACCCGCATACGATGGAGTCCTGTTATTGCACCGTGAATCGTGTCCATTGATTGCTGCCGCAGTTAGATGCGCCGCGGCAGGGATATAATGATCAGTGACGGGTAGGCATCTTACGGTGCCGTGACGAGTGGCGCGCGAACCAGATACACAACTTCTGGAGTCGTCTTTCCTCCGTTTCATGGATATTGAGTTACGGCATTTCATCAAAAACCGCGTGTTTTCTAATCTCGCTTTCACGAGATAAAACCGAGGGAAGACGCCAACCCGTCTCTCTTTAGCCCAGCGACCCGTTGTGTAACGCGAAACCGCGGCGATGTGCCGTTAAAAGAGCAGGAAAACAAGACACACGTGATTAACGCGTGTAATAAATACACTGCGTACCGGGCGAACCTTACAATACAATGCCGAGACGCAAGGTTCTTCGTCGATATTAAATCGAACGGTTTCTCGCCGCGTCGGAAATATTAGGTGTACCGATGAATAATTCATTGTCGCCGCGGATGTTCGTTATAACGCCGATTTCTATGGACTATTACGCGAAAGTAATTCAATGGGAGATAATGTATGTAGGTACATTGGTGTTCATGAATTTTTAGCATTCTTTGGTGTTTGAAAGGATTCTTTTCAATGAAATGTTTGGGATATAATTGTAGTCTTCGATGTTGAAGGAAATCCACTTATAATACAGTATTTTCAATGAGGCCTTTTCAAGTACATGGTGAAAAGTCTTCTGTATAATTGTCATGATTGATAATCTTGTGTTTAACATTAATTCTTTACCCACATACCCCTAATCTTGCAGTGAAAATTCTACATTCGCAATACGCGCAGAGGATACATGACCAGAATTCATTTCAGCTGATCGTCCATTTCAATGCATTCAAAAAACTATCCTAACAAAATTATTTTTGAAGCAAGTGGTATTCCATGAAAAATGAAGCGTATACTTTCGCTTAACCCAAAACTTGCGAACAATGTAAATAATTTTCATTCACGAAAGTATATCCAAGTACTTCAATCCCTACTAGTCAACGTATAATAATCTAGAAGCTTAAATCGTGTTGCACAATGAGACAATTCCTATTATTTCAATGGTTATTATGCGGTGTAAGATCAACCCTAGAAAGAACCATAGGTATCATTTAATTAAACAGTCCGCTTTTAACAATCTGGTTTCTAAAGAATAACATCTTTGCCGAACTAAAAACATATTTTCATGATCAATCTCAAGAATGCAAGTAATATAATACATTTCTCATATCTTTTCAGCGGTAATCATCAGCCAATCTCTCTAGGGTTAAAATTTGACTAATCAAGGAAATATCGGACAGCGGGACTTACCTGTTTGCCAGCGCGAGGTAACGTCTCCACGTTGGTACCGCCGACGACAGGCGCTTTTTCTGGTCCTCCATTCTGTTGGCTGACATTTATGTTGGCATTAACATTCGCGTGCACATTGGCGTTAACATTGTTCGCGTTGTCGGTGACGTTCGTAGTGGTGTTGCCGCTGCCGACAACCCCGCCGGTCCCGGTTCCACCCCCGTACTTTCCTTCCTCGCCCGTCATCGCTTCGACCTCACTCTTCGCTGCGCCGGTTCCCTCTTCTTTTCCACCCTTTCACGTTCCGCGCGCCTCGAGCCTTCCGCCCCCGTTCACTGATCACCAATGTCGGTCCGCTGGCCAGAATCCGGATATCTGCTCGAACGAGATGACGAATCGTCGATCAGCAGAAACGGGTCAATCTAGGAGATTACCGAGTCGACTCTGTCCAATCACTGATATCGATAACCTCGAACGTCCTACCGCCCCGCAGAAAAGATTTCCAACCCCCCTACCCCTCTTTGCGGCGACAGTCTAACAGATCTGGGTGAAATATCGGGAAAAAGTATTCTGAATGGTATTCATATTAAATGTCATCTGATTCGAATAAAATGATATTTTCAGTATACTTCAGAAAATCAAATTTTATTCAAACGATTTGAAATACGCGATTGGAGTATTTGATTCTTGTATTTGGAATATGTAGTTTAGATGTTTGTGTAGCGTTGTTACGAAGTTATAACGTTTGAAAAAGTACACTTACTTTGCACAAAATTCTAGTGCGGACAGAGATATGTTGGAATGAAATTTGCAGTATCCTTTAAATGAAATATTATTTTGAAAATTTTGTGTAACAAGTGAGATATGTTACTATGATGGTTGAACGAGCGTTATTAAGAATGAAGTGAACCATTCACTATTTTAAATGCTATTTTACCCAGCACTGGAAACCTAACCCCATTTACGACCGTTACGCGAATCTCATCATGTGGAAACTGACTTTGCACCGGTACTATACGAAGAACACACACACTTCAATTTCACGAATTGGTCTAGTCTCGTCGATGGTTTAAAACAATTTTCCAGGTGCATCAGTAAGAAACTAGGAAAATTGGGAAAATGCGAGAACCGAAAAATCAATAGAAATGTTAACTCACTTAGCTACCCTACGAATGAATGTCTAACTGCAGCAACGAGCAGAGGAACGAAGTTAAATAACTACAGTTTACTTTCCACGTAAGCAATGGAAATTTTCAAGATGATCGGAAAGGAAATTCGGCCTTATTTCCGTAATTCACATTGGCGCACCATCGAAATTCATTACATTAAAAATGTCTGAGAGAATTACTTTCGTTCTCTTGTCGTATGCTATTTATAGGTTTCTCGACGCGCGATACGGGTGGTATAACGGTATATGACGAGCTGACTCAAGCACGTCGGAGGTGGACTTCACGAAGCACATGCCGATCGAGAACTAATCAATTACTAGAACTAGCTTCCACTAGCGAAAGATTCGACGACGGAAAGCGGGTTGCCGTTGGAATCAATGCTACATTTCAACCCCCTGTACCTAGAACTGTCATTTTCATTTTTCACCGTTATTTCCAACTCACGGATCGAATGCAAATATTTTTTACCATCACTAAAGAACGAGTAAAGTTGAATTAAATTTTGTAAAAAAGAAAATATTTAAGCATACTTAACGCACGGTAACATTTTAATGGAAGTGGGTACTTCAAAGTACTCTCAGGACACGAAGGGTTAACCGCCTCGCGAATTATATCCGCTTTGGACCGCGGGTTAATTTTAGACGGTCTCACACGCTGGTCTCCGGTAATGTAACCGAACGCGATGAGACTGGCGTGTAACGAGTCCTAGCGTTTCACGAATCGCGGGCAGAATTTCGTGGCGTTTCCTGTGCAGTGTCTTCATCACGCTTTCTTACCTAAGAAATAAAATCCCGTTTGACTCGGTGAGGGTACCATCTTCCGGAGAGGTTTACTGTGCCTACTCCAACTCAAACGCTACATTTTTATTTCACGTGAAAAATATGAATGAAAAAGTGTGTGCAAATCTAAAGTGCACTCCAATATGTCTAACATAGGAGAAACACATCTGAATGGAACATTTTCTTATTAAAATAATAATGTATTTAAGTCATCGAAAAACGTGCAAAGAGAAGACTTGAAAAATTGAGGGGACACGTTACAACATGTTAATGAGTTTTACCAAGAAAGGAAAACTGAAACTGTAAACGATTTGTACAGATAAATGAAAATTATAATTGCCAAAGAAGTAAGATAGATAATTATAAAAAACACTACAAATTCGACAGGTCGTAACGTCATTAACTTTTTGGACAACGTAATAGTTTCCGGTAACCGCGAGGGACACGAGGAATCATGTATGTAGTATCGTCAGTAGTGGAACCAGGGAAAATCGATTCGGCCGTGCCCGTTTGAGCACTGCGCGCCTCTCAAGTGTACGAACCACCGCGATAAAAGTAGTCAACCGCGCGTGACGGTCGTTTCGACTTTTGAGATATGTAAGTAACTGCACCATTTCAATAGATCCTCGAAAACTATTTGTGAAAAGGGCTGGAAATATGGTATACGCCTAAAGGGATGGACAGAGAGAGAGGAAGAGAAAAAGAGAAAGGAAGGGAGGGAGAGAGAGAAAGAGGGAGAGGGAGAGGGGGAGGGAGAGGGAGAGAGAGAAAAAGGTTTAGGGAAGAAGCATTAAAGATATAACGCCCAATACCGAAATAAATAACGTCAAAAACGGTCCTCCACACAAGAATACACGAATGTAAATGTCATTCGACAGAAATATATCGTTTTCTGTTCGTCTTGCATCCCCCTCCCGCTAAGCGAGATAAAAGTTGCATTGCTCACAAACCAAAACTGAGCGTCCTCCGTAAAAAATGGAGCGAACCAAAAAAGAATAAGAAATGAAGAAAAAAATCCGTGCGCGACGAATTCGCGAGACGTGTCCAACGGCTCCGAGATGGATAAAACGATAAATTCGTGAAACGATAAGCTTTTCTGTTATTACAAAGACCTGAACAGTCACAAATCGTCTCAAGTGCAAATCTTTGTGTAAGTAGAATAAGCCAGATTAGATCGATCGGAGATTTTCGTTGAAGAGTAGGCAATTCACTGAAAACCATTATTAGAAACCATTCAACGAAAATATTGACGGCGAAGAGGTTTAAAAGAAATTTGTACATCGTGATAACGCGTGGCTGATAGACATCGACCCTTTAAATTTCTCCAAAGCGGAGACTTCAGCCGCAGGCTATTGCCCGAGTCACCGTATATACATATATCGACTATACCGGTCTTAGTTTTTTACACGGTAGAAGATGTGGTATTGGATTCAGCGATGAATACTTCAGGACCTTTTCAACGTTCTACTCGTCCCTATTCTCATGATTCTGCAGAATGTGCACGGATATATCCGAATCAGACGACTCGCTGACTAAACTACTCCGTAACTAAATCCTGATGCACCGAAAAATGACGCGACTAACCAGAGTACTACAGAATGTTGTGACGATACTTAAGATACTCGAATACCAACCACAGTATACCGAGGCACTTTTTCCATTAAATGTTTCTTCACTGTCAAATCACACGACGTCCCGTCATTTTTTATACGTTTGCTCTTGCGCGAACCGAACCATACACATACATGTATATATGTATATATATATGTATGTTATTCGAAAGGATTTCGTCCGTTTAAAAAGTCCCGAGCTAAACGCGACCACCCTCCTGGAAACTCTGTACGGCTTTGATCGGTTTTATAACTTCGATGGCGACGGGTACGCTCGAAGCGACACCTGGTGATCACGTTCTAGATGCGCTGACTACCCCCTCTTTCTAATTGAACTTCACGATCATCGCCACTGTGACTTTTGAGGCACACCAGAAACTTAATCTTTTGTCAATAAAATTTCATCAAAAAAACAAATACTTCGTGAAATTATTGTATGAAATAAGCTTGTTTGTTGTGTATAAAGTTTATAATAAAGTAAGATAAATACAAAATTCTGGAATATTAAAGTTTTGACTCGGCTTTTTTTACATTTCTCTGGAAATTAATGACACTTTTAGTTACTGCTCTTACCTTGGAGACAGTTTGGAAAAAGAAGTATTTTAAAGAATGGGTATTATCTTTTAATATAACAAATTCTAAAACTTTTTTTATAAAAATTGTTTCGCACTATTACAATTAAAGATGTATGGTTATAATGTTAATACTTATAGCAATTAGCCAATTGATAATGGATAAATGTATTGTTACATAGATGTACGTATAATAAACTATGTAACTATTTCTGATCAAATATTACACTGTTCATAGAATTTTTAATATATGACATTGTATAATACAACATTTTATAAATTACTTTGATAATGGGAATACTTAACAACCTTTAAATAGTAAATATGAAAGAAACACTTGATATACCAAATTAATTTCCCTTTATATTAAATAGGTTATAATAGTACCAGTATTAATTA